ACCATGGTACAGGCTATGGTACTGGTGTCCCATGGTACAGGCTATGGTACTGGTGTCCCATGGTACAGGGTATGGTACTGGTGTCCCATGGTACAGGAGGGTGTGGTGTGGTATAGTACAGCACCATACCTATGGTATGGTGTTTTTTATCTTTCAGTGCCCTGAGGAGGATTGGTGGCCACTGCCTGTAAACAGTGGCAACCGGCTGGGGGGGCAAGTTGTGTCGGCCTGGACCGCCCCCCTCCCCCGTAGCGATGCCGGAGCAACCATGGGACCAACTGCTGGAACTGGCGGCTCAGGTCTTCCTGCGGCCGCGGTTGGGACGAACCCAATACACATCCACCAATAAAAAAGAGCGCGCTGGTTTAGTTCTCGGTCGGTATATGACAAGCATGGCTACCTTCTTTCCCCGAATACAACGTACGCCGTACGGTGATTATAGCTGTATTTAGACTGAAACATACCCCAAATAGAGCTATAATGATGGTATGTTGTATTTGGGGGAAGAAGGTAGATTACGATGCCAATCAGGGTTGAGACCCTCAATTTCACTATATACTTGCGGAGGCTTACACCGCCTCCAGTACATGACCCCAGCCTTGCTGAAAAAGAAACTTGTAGCCTACAAAAAAAATTCGAGGCTTGGCCTACCGGACCACGATGGCTGGCGGCGCCAGCCAAAATGCAAAAAAAAGTGCGTCGCCACTGGCCGTTCGGAAAAGCTTGGTCCGCAGTTAGCTCCCTGCCGGCCCTGGTTGTTTTAAAAGAAAAAAATCTCAACATACCTGTCACGACATGAGCTCGATAAGAAAGTTCAATAAGAGTCACGATCCTGACATATAATCTATACAATATACGTTCCATAATAATCTCAAATCACCTGGGCCCGGTCACCTGCGGATATATATATATATAGTCAAAAGAAGAAAGAGTAAAATGAATGGTTTCACTGTGCCCTTCATGTTTGTCAGGTTTTGGTTTTTGTTTTTGTTTTTGTTTTTTTTTGTTTTTACCGTTTGTTTCGCAAATTGCGCTCTTTTAGTTAATAGTTATGTGTGGGTGTACTCGCCATCATCTTTGTCACAATCACTACCACGAGATGGTTTCTGCATCCATGTGTGTACAGGATTGTCCCTCCGTTCCTGACTGCAGGTACCCTCCTCATCTGGACACTATATGTCCATTTTGTGGCCACGGACGCTATGCTGAATGCATGCTCTTTTGTGGGGGGCGTTCTTCCTTTATTCTG